ATCTCTACCGGTGATCTGCGTCCTCTTGCTCTCTGTCGAAGTTTCGTGCTCTGAGGAAGACGAAAGAGAAGCATGGGAAAAGTGATTTGGTGAGAGTTTAAAAATGTGGTGTGGGCCCGGACCGTAAAAGCTCCTCCTTCTAGTTTTATTTTCTCTCACCTTAATCTTTCGTCTCTTCCTTTGTCTCTTTCTTTTTGTATTATTCTTTTTTTGTCTTTATATGCCATCACACACACATACTCTCTCATTTTCATTCCTCGCCTCCCCCTTTTCAGTTTTTTTAATTTACTTTCCTAATAATAATAATAACAATAATTCTATTTTCTAAAAAAAACTTAGATTTAAATTTATGCTAAATTAAATTCAATAATAATTTTTTAATTAAAATTTTTATATTTAAATATTCTTATAAAATTATTCATTTGCCCTTAATTCACTTAATTAATCTTAAGTTAATTTTTAGGATGTTATATTTTGGGTCAAACTTTATGTAGGTTTATGCTTGAGTTGTCAAAAAAGCTTTATATAGACTTCACACTAGACTCGGCCATCATGCTTTTGACTTGCCAAACTAGCTTAAGCCTATTTGGCCAAATTTAGTTGAACTTAGTTTATTTTTACCCATAGAGCCAATCATCAGATACTCCAAAACAAAAGGACTTTTAAATCATTATAGCAAGTGAAAATTTAAAAATACCTAGATTTAGATGTATAATAAAAATATTTTAGGAAAATAAAAAGACTGAGGACACAAAATTATAGGAAGTAGTAGTGTTCATGGGACGAGACAACATTAGGATATTCCCGTTCCCAAAAATGACTAGGATTAAATTTTTTGTTCCCATATTTCATTTCATCCTGAAAGTGTAATTTCTTGTTAAGAATAATTAAAATAGGATCGAAACAAGATTGAGACATCCTCATAAAGTATATAACATAGGACACAAATATGAATAATAATATTCATCAAAATATTAAATCACATAACTTGTTAAGTTTGACACTAAAATAATGTGAGTATATAAATCGCAACGATTTAAAATCAATTATTAAGTTATATTGATTGCAATTATAAGTGTATAATTTAAAGTCAAATATATTGAGACATAACACATTAGACAAAAATTACATATGACTTCCACGTATCAAGAGCAAGAGAAGTTAGACATAATATCAAATCATTATTTTTTTTATTTTCATTTAGATATTTGAATATCTCAACTAAAATTATTAAATAGATTGATATAAAAATAAATTATATTTAAATAATTAATATATTGTTGAAAAAGAGACTACACTATGCTGTTTGTCCTGTGTCATTAAAATTTTCAGTATCAATAACTTTTAGTTTTAATTAGGGATTATAAGTATTAAAATTATGATTAATATATTTTATTATTAATATAATTAATCTCGAGAGCAATTCCACGTTTCGTCCATGCAAAAGCCCGATCTCATTTTTGCCTTAGGCCAGGAAAGGCCATCTTGATAATTTTAGGACAGAATCAGGCCGACAAGAACAAGTATGAGGCTGAACAATCCTAACTCGAAGAATGATGAAAAAGCCATGTTAAGCCTATGCTGGTCTCAAAAACCAAAAAAAAAAAAAAAAGGCCTACCTTCCATCCAAAATGAGAACGTTTCAATTTTATTACTATCATTATTATTTTGCGTTGGAAAGCATTCTCATTTTAACCAAATGCCTTTTCTTTTCGTCCTCTAAACGTGAGAAGGTCCTGTCGACGACTCCCACCCCTCAGCACGGAGGTATTGCCGGTATTCTCCACTCCACACCGTCGCCCCTCCTCTATCGACTTCCTCAACTCCGTACACCCACGCCATTATATCTGGTGCAACCACCTAATTTAATCATCTCTAGAGCTCATATCAACTCTTGTTTTTTTTTTTCCAAAACCCTTTCGTGTTCTTGGTCCTGTGTCTATCCTCCACGGCCTATAGTCTGGACTTTCTTGATCTACCACGTTGAGACGAATGGTTATGACGTAGGGTTTTGTGCTGGCCTTCCTCTTCCCTCGTATCTTGGAGCAGTTCGAGCAAGCTCTTGTATATCTGAGTGAGCTTATAGAGTCGGACGTATCATTTAATGGACGAATATGGTAACCGGGTGAGTGAAAGCCCAGGTTCAAGGCATAATTTCCTGTACTCATTCGCTGCGGATGGAGGTTCAAGCACGGGGGAAACCATCACCAGTCGCCCAGTACTACCTTTCATCTTCAATCAGGTGGATCGGAGTGCTATCAATGTGTGAAAACCAAAGCCAACACCTCCAATCATACTCAGATTTTCCACTATCCTTTGATCAGACAAAGTCTTCAAACTCGCGGAGGAAGCCAAACCTCTGACGAAGTTGAATCTCTCAAAGCTAAAATCATTGCTCATCCTCAATATCCCAGCCTTTTGGAAGCTTACATGAACTGCCACAAGGTGAGAGTAATTAGTTTCTCAGCGTTTTTTTCTGGGTTTATATCCGTAGATTGATAGTTAATGATAGGACTGTAGGTAGGAGCTCCGCCGGAAGTGGTGGCGCGTCTGACTGCGGCGAGGCAAGAGTTCAAGGAACGACAGCGATCTTCGGTCAGATCGAGGGAAACTTGCAAGGACCCAGAACTCGACCGATTCATGGTGGGGGGTTTCTTTCCCTTTTAAGGATTTGTTTGGCTCACTTGGTAATTATTAGACGAAAAAGCACTTGTTCGACGAGGTTGTGTTGGTGCCGTGATGACAGGAAGCTTACTATGACATGCTTGTGAAGTATGGGGAGGAATTAACAAGGCCAATTCAAGGGGCAATGGATTTCATACTCAAAATCGAAGCTGAGCTCAAGGTGCTTTGTAATGGACCTGTACGCGTCTTCCCCGGTACGGATCTATCTATTTTCTTGCTTTTCAACTTCTGTTCCTGAATCATCAATAATTTCCTATCGTTCAAACCAAACAAACTGATGATCTGATACGGTTTATCTTTGTATCCGTATAGTTTTAGCTGTGCAAACAGTTATAGGGCTACGGTTGTCGGCAACTTTGACCAAAATTTCCGTATCCAATGCGGGGGAATGGACTCAGAAAGAAAGATGAATTTGATTTGATGAAGCATAACCCTAATAACCATCTTCTATATGTACCAGGTTTTAGGTTTCCGAGAGTAGACCCGTTAAATATTCGCAAGATGTTTTCTCTTTTCGGGCTAAAACCCAAATTTACACGCTCCATTATTCTCTGTCTCCTCTTCCCTTTCCCGAACTTCTGAATTCTGACAAAATTATTCTTCTAGGGCTTCCTGGCTAGCTATTAAAAACCATAATATATCACTTGAATCGGTGCCTATATACCATAATGAATCTACTTTTCGACGATTTGTTTAGGGTTTTGTGATGACATTCCTGATTCATGTACACCCCTCATCATCATTGTAGTGGCGAGGTCGAAGCTCTAATGGTCTAGGCCCTCCGGGGCCCCCAACAAATCATAATAATTATTAATTAATTCAATTCAGATTATTTTAGTCTAACGGCCGGGCATATGGGGGTGGAAACGGTAGTACCTAATGATGATAATAAAAAAAAAATTACAGTGGTTAATTTCTTTTGGGCTGATTTGTGTGGTCAATTTCGACTGATGCATAATTTGGTTTTAGACATGTATAAACTGGAATCTGTCAAAGACCAGAATATTGGGCATTGAAATTGAAATAGGGCAAAACAATTTGACGTGACTATAATAAAATAATTTTTCCTGCATTCATTGAATGCTGTTCCAGTAATTGTTTAAGAGAGATACAATCCGCATAAATTTCCGTGAATTTGAATTTGCATATGCCCTCCAAATTCTTTGTTCTACTTGACTAGGTTGGCTCTCAGCCATGGTCCTTGCCACTGTATAGCCATTTTTGACAGTGCCATACCATGTTGCCCCGCTCCAAATTAAACCAGCAATTAACACATTATTATTATTGTTACGTTGATGCTGAATGTCACTGACAGAGCTTACGGTTCATTTACGCTCAATGATGATATGCAAATAAGACACACAAGAACGAAAGCAGGCATTAAAAGTGTGCGGGTGCCTATTAAGGAGCTTAAGGAATGACACGCGCACACTCTAATCCTAGGTTCGGTCTGTAACTACGGCTCTAAAATGTGGTCTGTGTAGATATGTTGTCTTTATTTGCTTCTTTTTCTCCGTTTACAGCATCATTATACGGAGGAATGAAAAAAATCGATCGAATTCAGGAATAGTATAATGTGATCATGTTTTTCACTGAGTACTAACATTTCCACGCTTAGTTATTAAGAAAGTTGTGAATGGCCAAATTTTGGACTATTATGCAGAAGATAAGGCGACGGCGTGGATTCATCTGAAGAGGATAGAGATAATAGTTGTGGAGAAGAAGAAATGCCCGGAATCGATCCTCGAGCTGAAGAACGTGAGCTTAAGAACCACTTGCTAAGAAAATATAGTGGGTACTTAAGTAGCCTCAAGCAAGAACTCTCCAAGAAAAGGAAGAAAGGAAAGCTGCCAAAAGATGCTAGGCAAGAGCTACTGACCTGGTGGGAATTACACTATAAATGGCCCTATCCTTCGGTATGTGCATGTTATACGTAGCATTCTCTGTGAAATCTCACTAAGCTATAGCTAGCATATGTATCAGCTTGCGTAGTGATGATGAAACGCTAAGTTGCTTTGATAAGATTAGCATTAATAAATTATTTTGCTGCAACGAATTGAGTAGGAGTCAGAGAAGGTGGCATTGGCAGAATCGACAGGGTTGGACCAGAAGCAAATAAATAACTGGTTCATAAATCAGAGGAAGCGGCACTGGAAGCCATCAGAGGACACGCAATTTATGGTGATGGAAGGTCTGCATCAACGGGAGCCCAGTCTTTATATGGACGCTCACCGCATGGCTAATGCTCACTGCCGTCTTGGACCATGACCCCTGCAGCACTTCCTGATTATATGTGTGTTATATGTATATTGTGGAAACAAGTTCTTGTTTCTTGTGCAGTGTGGGAATAATAGAGCAGTAATCTGGTGAGATGTAACATGTTCCCAGTGGTTGTGCCTTCTATTGAAGTATCGGATGAAAATAACTTGTTCGGTGTTGTTGGAGACCCGTGGTCTTCTTATAACGTGAGGGATTGCGGGAGATTATTTTGTCATTTCCTTTCATATCTAATTATTGTAATTTTGTTGTTTTATTTGTTGTAAACAGAAGGCGAAATTCGCGATTTGGAGACCCTGGAAGTTTGCTATATATGCTATAGCTAGCCTAGCTAGCCTGTGTGTGTATATATGAAGAGAACATATCATCGTGAAACCTTGAAATTCCATGATGTTAACTCTCCCTTATTTTCGTAAATATCTCAACCGTATGACTTGACATTCGGATGAAATTTTATAAATACTCATTTTCTATCATCTATTTATATAAGTAATTTACATAGGTCATACCCGTGCAACGCATGGGATTGAAGACTAGTTTTTGCCTTGTACTTTGAACACCTTTATCGACACGTTTATTTGTTCGGGAACATGGTCTGAGAAATACACGTTTTCCCACAGTCCACAGATAGATTGCAATTTTTTTAAGATGCTGAAATATGACACAAATTCGTTCTTTAAGTGTTACTGTTAAGCCCGGCTTAAGGATCATGAGATTGGTAAACTCGTTGGGCCAGGCCCAGTGTTAGAACATAAATTTTTTGAGATGTAAATTAAACTAGGTTTCCTGATCCGTACGTCATGGCTCATGATGCATGATAAGTGAATGGATAAAGCCGCTTGCTTATGGTGATGTGTCGACTTATCATGATGCTCATCACTCAAGTATTTATTAGTGCGATAAAATTTAAACTTTTAGATCAAAATCTAAAATATCATTTAATAAAATAAACGTTATAAAATTTATAAAAAAGTTATAATTAATCTGGTCTATATTTAATTTGAAGAGTCTAATTTAATATTAAAAGCTATATAATTTTTATTATAACTGCTATACACAATCCACATTAATATTAATTTTTTTTATAATTTTATTTTAATAAACAACATTAATAACAAAATTATAAAACAGGAATTTTTAAAAATTACAAATTAAAAATTTTGAATATGAACTATGCAAAATACATTTTAATAGTTAATATATAAAAATTATATTAAATTGGGCCCTTCAGAGTAAATCTAGGCCAGGTTGATAATAAAATATTTATTAAAATATTGTTATAAAATTTTATTTTAATAAATATAAATAAAAATATTGAAATATACTTTAAATTTAGCTATCCAGGTGAAGATCCGGATGTCTACATTTTATTACACTGATGAGCATATACTGAGCACTAAAGATGGACCTATAGCCCTCGTGCTTATGGTGAGATTATTGCAAGGACACGTGGAGGTGAGTGGAGCAAGGTGGTTGCCGGTTACGTTTATGCTATCCGCAGGGCAGGCTAGATGGAGAGGTGTGAAATGTGTTGTGATTGTTTCTTTCCAATCCCATCCACTGGGAGTCTTACTCACTCTCTCTGACATTTCTATTTCTCTTTCCTTTCTGCACTTCCTTTCTTGTTGATATGCCTGTAATATGATATTCGAACGTTATATCAATATTCTGAGAATCAATTGTTATATTTCTATAGCAAT